CCAATGCAGCGGTAAGATGCCACATAGTAAACAGAAGACTGAACTTTAAGTTGGGAGGTCTTGTTGCTGGTCCCAACTCTGCAAATAATTAATTCAGGCAATTCATCTAATTCATCTAAACCCATTTAAGCATCAGTTTCTTTATCTGCTAGAGGGATTTAAATCCTGTAGCAGTTAAGTCACATTTGCCATAATTATCTACAAAAAGTTTCCATGTAAATTTTCTTATTTAATGAACTTGATGGCTGCTTCCTACTCCAAAACTATATAACTTAAGAGAATTATTTTGCCAAAATAGAATAAATAAGTCAAGTGTTTATAATACTAAGAAGAACTTTTCTTTGGAATGTTTACAAGATATTAGCCAGAGGGAGGACTTCAAATATGAGAACAAAAAAAAAACAGCTGTGGACTTATTTTTTAATTATATTTATTCAATTACATTTTCTTTTTTAAAAATGAGCTAAAAACATTCCCAGTATATGCCCATCCTTGCCTCAGGCCTCATACCACCACCAATTTTATGGATGTGGAGAAGCAAAAGTACCACTAGAGGGAGCAGGAACAAAATACTTATTTTTAGTTCAAGGAACCCAGGCAAACTTCAAGGGACTTCCAAGATCAACTTCTGAGTAAAAGGAAACTTAGTGATGCTTAGGTACTTCAAGAATCTAGAAAATCAGAACTAGACTTCACTTGGTTACTCACCTTGTGTCCTTTCCACAAAACCATGCTGACTGGGAAAATTTTTTTCATTTTACTTAGAGAACATTACCAGCAACAGTGAATTTCAGTTTTTTCCCATATCCTATTTCTCATTTTTCCTTTAATAGGGTTAAAAACTGTGTTGGACAACACCGAGGGTCCCATTTTGGGTAATGGGCTGACCTACACATTTGCAAATTTGCTGACCTGGTCCTCCTGACTTACTGTTCCCATTATCACGTCAGATTTGAGATGGGTATCAACCGGATCATTTGCCTTTGTAAGCCAGCACGCCGCTGGCTATTATCTCTCCCAGTAACTGACCCCAGAATAGCCCTCTTAAGGAGGTGAAGGCACAAATTTGGGCCGAATCCAATACGTAAGCCTGGAATTAGGAATTAGCTTTTGGGGATGAGTGGGCAAGAGGGCCTGTAGGTTGTTTCTTTTAACCTAATGGACCACCAGCTTATTTTTTCTGGAAGAAAACCAGATTCAGTAGGGGCAGGGAATGTACTTCTTTGTAAACTTCCTTTCAGTTTGTCACCACTTAATACTTCGCATCCAGAGGCAGAGGAAAAGTAAAACGCAACCACCATTTATGAACGCAATTTTCATGTTTTGACAACACCCTAGTTTTAGTTAACAAATGCTTACGAAATGTTTAAAAATCTCGCACCCGATTGAGGACACTGAGAAATCTACTTTTGTTATGTCAAAAACTTCAAAATCCGCAGAGCAGAAAATACGTGAAATATAAATGCGCACAAAGTGGGGCATTAAGACAAAAATCCTGCAAAAGAATGGCTAGCTAGCTGCTTGGCTCAACGCCCTTCCACCTTTGTACCAATCTGCACGCACCCTGGTCCAATCCGCAGGTCTGGGGATCCACAGGCCCACCACTGATGAGGAAGGGAGACCGAAGCGCACAAAAGGAGCCCACAACCCCTTCCCGCGGGAAAAGTCGACTGCGGGCCTCCAGCAGACCCTCTGCAGGCGGCGTGTGTTTGAGCCTAGTCCCGGGTGCAAGTCCCACAGCTCAGGGAAGCGCACCGCGCGAGGGGACCCGCTCCGTTTCTCTCCCTGCGGCCAGAGCCTCGCCCTTGGCCCCCAAGGGTCCCGCGGCTGACAGAGCCCAACTCTTCGCGACGGCAATGGGTGCCTCCGGAGAAGCCCCGGGCCGACCGCGGCCTCCAGGCGGGATGCGGGGGCTAAGCGGGCGAGTCACCGCAGGCTCCCGGGAGGGGCGAGCAGGCCAGCAGCTGACATTTTTTGTTTGCTCCAAATTGGATGGTGGGCGGCGGTAGGCCAAGGCTTTTCCGCCCGCTGAAAGTCAGCGAGAAAAACAGCGTGCGGGGAACAAAAGCGCAGCACCTACGCCCGTTTCAGTTAGGGTTAGACACAAAATGACCGCCACCCCTCCCAAGCCCACCCTCCGCTACCCGAACTGCACCCGGCCGCGTCTCCCTATAAAGGGAGCGGCCGCGGCTCGCGCCGATTGGCCGGAGCCCCTGTCTCGGCTCTCGCGAGAGCCGGCCTCGGCACTTCCCCCTCTCCCCGCCAAATTCTATTTCCTGCGGTGCGGAGCCTCGAGCCCCTCCTCCACGTTCCTTAGGAAGAGTGTTGTGTGTTTTTTTCCGTCCGTACTTCGAAAGTGGAAAGTTGCAGCAAATCTCGGCTCCGTTTTCCATCCCCTACAGACCGGGCGCGGTGCGCTCAACCATCTTAAAAAGTGGAGTTCACAGAAGAATTTTAGGGCCGGGGAAACAACAGTGATTCGTAACTCTAATCACATTTGTTAGAGGTCTTTAAGAAAATAGATTCTCGGACAGCCTTGACTAAACCAGAATATTGGCGCGGCTCGTTGGACTGCCTTGGAGTTCCTACCCTGCTCCTCTCTCATTAGAATGCCGCTCTTCCAACTTCTCCTTGAACACAGAACGGGTTTTATTAAGTATAACTACTTCGTTCTTAATTTTAACATTCAAGATTGAATCTACCTTTTATTACGAATAAAAGCTTCTCAGTCGTCGACTTTGCTTTAATATTGTGACTAGTTTAAAAAAGAACAATCCACCATAAGTTGTACCGGGTTTCTCTAATAGCCGGTATAATACTGTTTTACATACAACTGGCAGATCCTAATTGTTGAATTCATGTTGCATTGGGTGAATTCTGTGGAGTTGTCGCTGTGGACACTTCAATCTGAGAGAAAAGCAAAATGTTACGGGCATTGGTTTCCAAAGATTGTAAGGGCGGGGAAAATACAAACGAGATTTTCTAATTTTATTCTCTATCCCTAGATTACCTGAGAAGGATCATCTATGACCCCATGTTAGAGGCTGGAGTCAGTACAGAATAGTCCAGGTTGGTTGTTGGGTTAACTACCTGAGACCATGCTTAAGGATTGTTCGCTTGCCTAACGTAGCAAGCTACTTTGGGATCACTTTAAACTTAAGTCTAAACTACTAACCTGTTTAAATCTCAATTTCTTAATTTGTAAAATGGGTATAAGACTTGTCTTCCCCATCCCTCTGGGATGTTGAAGTTTAAGTCAGATAATTAGATAGCCTTATTTTCTTTTAGAAAAAAAAAGCACTTTAAGAATTCTAAAGTGAAGAGTGAGTTCATGCTCTCTACTGTGCTTGTGAATCTAGTGAGTGCAGCATCAACTGTTCAAACTGCCCTCAGATAATCATTTTCTACACCTTATCCAATCTAGGTTTGCTTACAATCACTAAAGTGGGAGAGAAGTATCAAGGAACAAAATGCATCTCTTCACAAATGCTTGACTCAGGTCTACTTACTGTTACTTGTACAATGTGCCCATTGTTTTTACACCTTGGAGCCTTTGCACTAACATTCCCTCTGCCCAGAGTATGCTTCTGGTCAGTTCTAAATCTCTACATACTTACCGGGAGTACACCATAGAGAGCATCAAGGAGGGAGATAGAGATGAAAAGGGAAATCCTGCAATCCCTAACTTCTAAGAACATAGCTAGTGCAGGAGAAAGACAAGCAAACCAAGTAAGGCTGCATAAATTAAGTGGTCAATAGAAGTACGAGTAATGAAATGTGCTGGAGTACAAAATGAATTTTGGCTGCGTGGAGGAAGTAGCGTCTGAGTTGGACCTATAAGTTATCTAATTCTATAACCAAAAAAACCTTTTATTGTATTTTGAAAATATCTCTAGGGACATTATCCCATTTGAACCCCACAATGACCCTGTGAGACCAACAGGGATCAGCAGCCCCACTCTATGGATGAAAAAATTGATCTTCAAATTGTGGTGCAGCTGGTAGGTGGTAGGGCCTGGACCGAAATCCATATATGCTGCCCCTAAATTCTGAGGAAAGGGCATTGCATTGGGTTTCAGTTCCAGCTGTCTTTCAAGCCCAGCCCCAAACCTAAGTCTACTAGAAAGTCTACCGTGAGCCTTCAAGGTATTTCCCTCCTTTGAGCCCCCAGGGCATTTAATATTTCTCTGAGAATATTAAATCACTTCTATCCAGTATTATTATAATTAAGGTAAAAATTTCACCTCTAATACTAGACTGCTGGCTTCTTAAGGAAAGGCTCTGACTCCTAATTGAGCATTCATTGCACTTAGCACAGTGCATGTATAGAGCAGATACGAAATACTTCTGTTAACAGTGCCGTCATCATCAGGAACCCAGGTCATTTTACACCTTTCTTCTACCATTCATATCTAATTTGACACCAAGACTTGTCAGTTTTTTGTAATTTCTTCTTTTTAATTCCTATTGCCTATAATCTTGAGTATAAAACTTGACTACTTTATATCTAGACTAATAAATTAACTGATCAAATCTCCAGGGCCTTCCCAGTCCAATTTATCTTCCAAACTACAATCACATTTATCTTAATTTCCTGTGTCTCCTGCTTTTCGTCTTTAATTATTCCCCTCTGTCTATGGGACATTTAACACAAAGACTTGTTCTTAGCCTGCTCCCCGTGAGACCTTCGTTTCACTACTACCAGTCTGTTAAGCATGCTTTGAATATGCTTTGTTCATTCTCATCCGTAGACCGTGGCTCTTTTCCATTATGCTTTTCTAGATATCTGCCCTCTTCCTCCTCCTCTACCACACACCCATCCTAATGCCACCCCATCCATGATGGCATACATTTGCTATAAAATCTTTCCTCACAGCAACCTTCTTTCCATAAACCTTAACGAACCTAAATCTATATCACTCATTTGGCACACATGTTGTACTACAAATTGCCCTTTTTCCAAAGGACATATAAGATCTCCAAGGTCAAGAATAGTTTCCTCTAGCATTTAATTTGGCTCTACTCAATGGTTTACTTCACCATTATTTTCCCCCAACATAGAAATGCAAGAGACATGGACAGTCCAATAATTCAAATACATCTTGTTCCCCCAGATACTTATAATATACAGTTTTCTGTCAGAAATACTCAAAACATTTTTTTCTAACCATTTTATCTGTATTCAGAAGCATCTTTGATGTACTATGTTGGGTCCAACTTCTTTAAACTCTGCCTCGGTGATCCACATGTCCTGGAAGGCAGACAGGGATGCAAGAATAGAGCCTCCCATCCACACTGACAGTTTCCTTTCTGGGGGAGCTGTAACCTGCACAGGCGTATTGGCAGGTACCATATTTGCTATATCTTTAACTAGCCGCTTGTCCAAACCAGGGAAAGAGGCTGATCCCCCAGCAAGGACAATATTAGAGAAAAATGAATTCCTCAGATCCGTATCGCATTTCATTATGCTGCTGAAACACAACTTATCGATGCCAGGGGTATCAAGGTTCATAAGATGTGGAGAGAAGAGGGCCTCTGGACAATGAAAGAGCTGGTCATGGAGCTTGATCATCTTCCCATCAGGCAGGTGGTAAACTTTCTCTACAGACTCAGGATTCTTGGCCATTTCCTCTTCATAGTTCATTACCACATAACAAGAGGTTTCCTTAATGTCTGCGACAATCTTTCTGTCTGCAGCACTAAGCAGCATGATGCCATGGTCCTTCAACAGCATCATGAGGTAGTTGGTGAGGTCAAGGCCTGCCAGATCTAGCTGCTGGACGCCATGAGGCAGACAGTAACCCTCGAAGATGGGCACACACTGGGTCACCCCAGCACCTGAATTCAACACAAAGCCAGTTGTGAAGCCAGCGGCAAAGAGAGCAAGCACCCCTTGGATGCACATATAGAAAGCAGGAACCTGCAAATGCTCAAAAAACACTTCAGTGATCTGTTGCCGGTTCACCAGTGGGTTCAGTGCTGGCTCAGTAATCAAGACTGGGCCATCACAGGCCTTTAGCTTCAGATTATGATCATAGATATGCTTCCACATGATTTCCATGTCTCCCCAGGAAGTAACCAGACCACGCTCCACTGGGTAGCTGTAGGAAAAGCAATAAGATAAATGGCAGCAGGTTTTGTTTTTTTGTGGGGTTTTTTTGTTTTTGTTTTTTATTTTTACAATGGCAGCTTTTAATTTTTCTAGGGCAGTGACTGCCAGTCAGAAAAGGTAACTGTCAACAACAGCATAGTTACTCCCTTCCTCTGCAATTTTTGTTGATTTCCATTCCCCCCGCCCCACATTTAGAAGACAAATAATCTTTTTTTTTTTTTTTTTTAAGATTTTATTTATTTGGCAGAGAGAGACACAGCCAGAGAGGGAACACAAGCAGGGGGAGTGGGAGAGGGAGAAGCAGGCTTCCCTCGGATCAGGGAGCCCAATGAAGGGCTGATCCCAGGACCAGGATCATGACCCCTGCGGGAGGCAGACGCTTAACGTCTGAGCCACCCAGGCGCCCCCACAAGAATCTTTTTTTTTTTAAATCAGGGAATCTTTACATAATAGTACAGTTTTAAAATAAATTAATTGAAGAAACCCACATGATGAGGGTACTATGCATTAAGTGATATTCTTAATGAACTTATATCTTATGAATAATTTTATACATTTGAATACATCTGTTTAGATACCGAGAGCAAGTAATGTTCACTCTTGGACGTTTAGTACCCCTTGGAGATTTGTGGCCTGCACCAGCGGGCTGAAACTTTCCTGTTCCCCGCTTCCATATCCTCGCAACTTTGAGCCCCTCATCTGGATTCTCCCTGCCCCTACGTGGGTCCTGCCTGCTGGGAGAAGGCCATACCTGATGGACAGTAAGTGTCTTCTTTCCTGCGCCTCATTGCCCACACACAGTTCCAGCGCGCTCTTAGCCTCCCAGTTCTGGCCTTTGGCTCGGCCGATAATATTCGGGTAGACAAACTGGGGTTCCCGCGAGCCAGCCAGGCCCGCCTTGATCATTCCCGAGCCGTTGTCGATCACCACTGGTAGCTGGTAGTAGCTCATGCCGCCGCCGCTGCCTCCTGTCGCCTGGCCACACCGGCTGCCCTGCCTGTGGGCTGCGCCAGTGGGGCGGAAAGTGCGGGGCGCAGGCCCTGGGCAGAGTTAACAGGCCCACCGCCTGGAACGTCGCGTCACAGAGGCCCCAGCCTGCCCCACTAGGCCTGCGCCCTGGCCAGGGGCGCAGGGGGCAGGGAGAGGCCTGGCCCATTGACTCTCCAAAGTACTGCCCACAGATTGCCTCTCACAGGGGCTGGGTCACTTGCTACCCCCTGGAATCCAGGGATGCCAATATCAGGAAAACCCAACTTTCTTCCCTGAAGATACAAATCTAACCCTTTACAAGTGGCTTTCTCTAATACCTGGATGGGCCATGAAAATTTTCTTTTCCAAAGCCTTTAAATTCTGCCTAATAGGCATCTGTCCATTGGAAAGCTCTGGAATGTGCCCTTGAAAGTAGGAAAAGGTGGAGAGAAACAGGGGAAAGTTGTGGAAGAAGCTGAATTTCAGAAGAACTTCTGAAACCCTCCTTAACTTCTGAAAAGAAAAAGGAAAAAAATGGTGGGATTTAACGTGGGTTTTATACAGATGGACAAAGGGGGAAGGGAAGGAAAAATGAAATAAGGTAAAGACAGGGAAGCAAACCTTAAGACACTCTTAAATATAGGAAATAAACTGAGAGGTGCTAGAGGGGAGAGGGGTGGAGGGATGGGATAATTGGGTGATGGGCATTAAGGAGGGCACATGATATAATGAGCACTGGGTGTTATGTGCAACAGATTCATCACTGAATTCTGCCCCTGAAACTGATACTATAATATATGTGAACTAACTTGAATTTAAATAAAATCTTAAAAGAAAAAAAAAGTGGGTTTTATATGCTTTTATTATTGTTTCTATATGATGCGCAAATACTTTGTTGTGTTTCTTTCCTGCAGTTTCTAAGCAAAATGTACTCAAAACCAAAATGGTAGAGTCTTGCTTTTTTTTTTCTTTTGATTGATTGATTGATTTTTAAGAATCTCACCCGGTTATCCCTCGTGTGATATGGAAGGTCATTCTCATTTCCTAAAAATATTTGATTTTTAGGCATAAGGACGTGTCTGCCTGTTCGCAAGAAAAGCGATATTCCCTCAGTCATGTGAAGTTCAAGATTAGAATAATTTAAGTACACTGCGTGCCAAAAAGTGCATCTTGTGTCTGATTTTTTATCCCCTTAATTCTACACACTGTGTAGAGAATTTTAAAAACAAGTAGGCAAGTTCGGACCTCGGGTTGGTCTATGGAAGCAGGGGAGGAAATTGAAAAGCTATTGGCCTGTCCTTCCACCAGAGGCTGGAAGGGTCAAGTTACTAAGGAACATAGGTGGCATTTGCTACTGCAGACCACTGCAAGAAGGGGGACTCCAACGAAGCCCCGCACTTGCCCCGGGCTTCTCATCACTCCGTGGCGGGGAGAGAATGCCAAATAAAACATTTCTTTCCCACAGAAGAGAGTGTACCCAAAGTAAGTGCAAGGAGCCTGTGCCTGGTTTCTGAAGCGGTCCGTCCCTAGGGGCCTCTTGGGGGGCTGGGAAAGCGCACGCAAATTCCAACTTTCAAAATACTTTCAGCATCATAAAATTAAAAGTATAGTCATTTTTCCTTTTCTGTTTTTTTTTTCCCCCCTCTGTTAAAAGCTACCTTAGTACTGCTTTAAGTGACAGGAATTCCATGGAACTACATCCATATCTAGGCCATTCTGAAGCCCCAAAGCCAGTGAAGTTTCCGTAGTGTAGTGGTTATCACGTTCGCCTAACACGCGAAAGGTCCCCGGTTCGAAACCGGGCGGAAACACTTCCTGTTACCTTTTCCTTTCCCTACCGGGGTTCCTCAAAAAGGGCCATGTCATTTTTACCAATCTAGCATTCTAAAAGGCAATCTAAATACAAACTTGTGGAACAGTGTAAATTTGAACTTTCACCTTGGTTATTTTATTCAGCAAATGTTTTCACTGACCACTTGAGACGCAGAAATGTTTCAAAATTAGAAAAAAAAATTTCAACTCCCAAACCACTACTGGTAAATAATGTAATGTACAACCTAGAGAGGAGCTCAAACACTGGTGTTAAAAACTGTTAGCCCTGTTGCCTCCTGAGCATTCTTTGTATTACAAGTTATTTAATTTTCCATTAGTTTTCCCCTTCAGATTGCAAATTCCCCTAAACGCCAAGAGACCGTATTTTACTCATACTATGCATAGTTGGTGTCATGCTTAACACCTGGCAGAGACTCATAAATATTTCTACTGAAAAGGGTTCCGACAAAATATAAAAGAAATCAGAAAGATGAAATCAAGAACCCAACTCAACTTTTTCTCTTATAAACATAATGATAGTGACTTTATCCACAAATATGATTTTTACAGACGAGAGAAAAGAAGCTAAAGAGGAAACAGAATGTTATTGGAAAAATCTCGGAAGAAACGAATAAATTCCAGTTGCTGTCCTTTAAAATGAAGTCATAAGTAAATATCCTAAAGTCCTGACACAACTCTTTTTAAAAAAAAAAAAAATAAATATATTATTTATTTGGCAGAGAAACAGCCGGGACAGGAACAGGAGCTGGGGGAGTAGAAGAGAGAATGCAGGTTTCCCCCCGGGCAGCAAGCCCTATGAGGAGCTCAATCCCAGGACCCTGGGACCAGGACCTGAGCCGAAGGCAGACGCCTAACGACTCAGTCATCCAGGCGCCCCTGACACAACTCTTAACAAGAAAAAATGAAGTTTTGTTTTTCTGAGGCTTACGATGCCCACCAAAAACTAGGGAAAAATTCACCCTAACATATTAACTAACATTAACGTTTGTATGTTACGCAGATATCTGGCATCCTTTTCCTTCACTGTACAAAATCTGAATTCGATGGAAATCATTATATTAAAATTTTTCTGGTCCAGACGCAGAACCTCTTCCGGTATAAAGCCCACCTTCCTGCAATGTTGCGCGTGCCCAGTGTACCCCACTGCTTTGCTCCGCTTTGATGCATCTCAGACTCGTAACAGGTAAGGATATCTTGGAAACTAAGCTGCAGTCGGCTGATGCAAACCAAACCCAGGGGGGGTCCCAAGAGCTTTCGGGTACGTAAACTGAAAAGGGGTGATCTGTCTCATCTTGAAAATCTCCCATGGCCAGGAGCCTAAGTACACAAGCTGCCTGCACTCGCGGGGTCCCGAGGAAGGGGAGGATGATGGGAGAAGAAGAGGAACTACAAGCCCCAGCATGCAGTGCACACTCCGGCTCCTGGAAAGAGGGCCTCGGTGAGGTGCAGCCCAACCGCGGACCGTCGGAGAGATGCCGACGGCCGACCACAATGTTCAGAATGAGGAAGACAAGCGCGGCGCTGTGAACAAGCCTTAAGTCCCGTATTCATGACGTTTGCGGTTTCGCCGGGGGCCCTAGTATGCTGAGGAGCGGAATTTCCGGACCACGCTGGCCGGTCCTCGCCGGGCTCGGACCTCCACAGTCCCAGAGCCTCCTGCGTTTCCATGGGACGCCCGGGCCGGATATGATGTCTTCGTAGAGAAAGAAGGAAGAGGCGGAGCGGGGGGGCGGTGACGTCCTTCCAAAATGGCGGAGAGAGCGTGAAGAAACTGTTACCCCTTGGTTTGCTCTAGGTGAGTTCTTTTTTCACCCCCCAGATTGCCAGTCCCACTCTCTAGACACTGGGCCATCGGAGGGCACTCTTCTTGGAGTTCCAGTTCAGGTCGGGGAGAAGGTATTAATGTGGAAAGCTCGGGGAGGCAGCCCGATGTTGGCCTTGGCCACAACCTCTGCTGTGGGAACTAGAGGTAGTGGGAGCTGGGCTAAGGGCAGTGCGGCACAAGCCGGGAGACGGTGGCTTTGGTTGTCACTCTCCGTTGCGGTCGCGAATGGAGAAGTGGGAAGAAAGGGGGTGTGGCTTCCTCCGGGCGAGTGACGGAACCTTGACAACTCTTGGCTCTGCTCATTCTCCGCGCCTGGGCACCCACTTCACGTTTTAAAGCAACTGTGCACTACGGAAACTAACTGCTTTCGGTGATTTGAAAGCAATTTTTAAGAACTCGTACCGTGTTTTTTCGCCATCTGTTCAAAGGGGGTCATTTCTTAGTGGTTTGTTATATTTTTTCCCCAGCATGTGCGTGCGTATTGAGTTTGAAAGTCTGAAGGTTCTACTGCTGCAAAAGCATGGAATTTTGCGGTGCTTTTTTTCAGGTCATGCAAGTGTTCTCATTTATCGCCATTTATTTATGTGTCCCAAGGATTGTGTTAGTTGTCCAAGATGTAACATAGATAGACAGGAACTTACCCTTCAGCATTTTAAACTATTCTGTTTGATAAGAATTTTCGTTGGGGGAGGCAGTGAAGGAGAACTGACTTTGTTTTTGTCCATGTTCTATCCCATGTCCCTTCTCCCCTTACCAATTGCTTGGGTGAAATGTTTGATGAAAACTTAAGAGTTACTGACTTGCTATTTCTTTTTGTCTTTTAGAACAAGGGTAAAATTCCATTCTGATACCAAAATGCAGTATTCGCATCACTGTGAACACCTTTTAGAGAGACTGAACAAACAGCGGGAAGCAGGTTTTCTTTGTGACTGCACTGTAGTGATTGGGGAATTCCAGTTTAAAGCTCATAGGAATGTGCTTGCCTCATTTAGTGAGTATTTTGGTGCAATCTACAGAAGCACTTCTGAGAACAATGTCTTCCTTGATCAGAGTCAGGTGAAGGCTGATGGATTTCAGAAACTGTTGGAGTTCATATACACAGGAACTTTAAATCTTGACAGGTAAAGTACACATTTTATTTTCCCTTATAAAAGCTAGTCAGCAGTCTGTAGGGCTAAAGTATACTTGTATTTTTTCCATTCAGCCCCTTAATTTGGAGTCGTCTTACAGTCATGTGTACAATGCTATTGTTGTTTTTAATAAAGAAGTCAGTATTACTGATTTGGGATGAACAGATGCATTTCTTAAGCACAAAAGGTGCAGGCGTTAATAAGATTAAAGCCTTGTTTCTGACACATTTGATTTATCTACTGAAATAAAGCCTGTGATTTCAGTTATGAAAACGTTAGGAACATACACAATGAATTCTAAGTGAATTCCAGTTTCTTTGGTCTTTATGTACCTCTGCTCTTCTCCCTCCCTCACTCTATCCCCTACCTCTTATGGT